TATTTCGTAACAAATAAGATAATAACGAATCGATTGATAACATTTTTACTGGGATTTCGACGAATAAACTTTAATAATGTTGCTTAAGTTGAGTTTACATACTTATTTTATTTTAAATTATCATARACACATATTATCATACTGTTATATAGGAACTAATAAATTACACATAATTYAACTTCAATTTTTCAAGATTTTTTTATGTATAGTATTTATTGATTTATATTTTTACATCTCGTTAATAAATAATACATTAGGCGTAAAACACTCTGACATCRTAATAATAAAAGAGTAATGAATGGTTATAAAAGCTTTAATCGTGAAAGCTATTCATATCGCTTACGGTGAAATTAATCATAAGTGATATGACAGGAGGTGCAGTAAAGTAATCGGTAGGGAAGACGTTTTTTGATGTCTGATGAAGTAGGAGGCGAGAAAGGTGAGATATATTTTCTCTGGTCGAAATTTTTTTGTAACGATTCGAATAAAAGCACCGTGTTGTCCATCATACTTATTTTACAATAATGTTTGAAGTCATTTTTCATGATTTATTTAACCAATTTTAATAAAAAAAGATTTACTGAAGCAATATGGAAATTGTCTGTTTGTAATTATTTTTATGCTCATCATCAATAAGACGAGATTACTTTAGGCTAAAGTACCTAATTAAAATGTAAAAATTAGTATTGATATTGCTTAAAATAATTATTGTATGATGAAAGCTGTGAACTGATTTATAAATATTTAAATACAAACTGCAATAATTTGCGATTGGCTAAAATACATTATTATATTATATTATGATCTCGAGTTTTGTGATATTTAAATATCAACAATGGTTAAATATAAATTTCTCTTCCATATCTAATACCTAATTTTGTGTTTAAGTGTGATTTTTTTACGTTAAGTCTTTCTAGCAGAGAATAGTTCAGGTTTTTTTTATTATTTGGTTTACTATGATTTTATAATTATTATTATGTATATGAGATAAATACAGATAATAACGCACCTGATCGGCGACAGTCACGTATACACGTTCTCATCGCAGGTGTGTCTCCTTTTTTTTTATTAAGATGATTTAAAATATAAATAATTATATTGTATTATAGTCATCACGAGTATTAAAATTTGAATTGGTTTACATCATTAGATATCAACTATMAAGGTAAAGAATTTCAAGTATACTTTGCAGTTTTGGGTTTCTTAAAAATCTTAAATTTTCTATTTATAGAGTTAATAATATTAATGATGGTATCTTAAATGTTGAAGTACTCAAATAAAGTTGTGTAAATTATAACTTTTTAAGTTTGGGATAAGGGATAGTGGATGGGCAAGGTGTAAATATTTTTATATATATCACAGCTTATAGCAGTTCGCCCAACAAATGGGGTACCAAGAGACATTACAGTATTCAAATTCAATATTATCATACTAATTTAGTATCTTGGTTACAAGATTTTAAAATAATAAAAATCGAGCAAGAATATATGGGTTGGAATATGATGTGGAATAATAATGTGATCTGCAATAATGCAGGGTCGAGAACGATTCATTATTGACTGATTATATGAATAAGATTATTGGTTGAATCTAAAAAAAATCGCGGTAAAGTGATTTGTCGTGTGATAACTTTCCTATATACCAGCTTTTCTACGTCAACATCATCATCAACATCATCATTACTCACCATCCGGGTACGTTTTCCGGTTCGTCGCATTTGAACGACACGTCGTTGTACACTGTACCGGCGGAGCAGCTTCCGTACTGCGGGATGACACCGTTCCGGCATATGTAGAACTTCTGACAGTCGTCGGGGTGCGCGAATGTAGGATGTGGTAAGATTCTGCCATTAGGACCGACCACGTCACCGTCTGGGCAAGAGAAACCGTCGGTAAGAGCCTCTGAAAAAAAACAAAATACAATCATACATTATAAAGAATTTCCATATTCGTATCTTATTATTTTATTTTAAACTGTAATCATTCTTTACTATTTTATTTTTGTTTTGAACTTAAAAATTATCTTTYTCTTAATCCAACTTCAGTTTGTTAAAAGTTAACTCTCTACTTCATCACAAGCTTCGGCTAAAAGAAGTAGATAATTGTATTTATATATTATGTATTTATGTATTTTATAAACGCAATAAATAAAAAAAAAAAATGAGTAAACGTAAAAATTGATTTTTCTGGTTCATGCGACGATATTATATTATATTATTAAATTACATTATAATATTTATGTTATTTCTAAGATACGTATAATTAATCGTAATATAAAAAACAAGAAATAGGATTGTAAATACACAAAAATATATGTTTGGACTATTCATAAAATATATAACATAATATGAAAATATTTTGTTTTGTTTATAGGAAAAACAATAACTTATCATAACAGTCCTGTAATGTCGCGTAAGAAACGTATGATATACATAAATATTTTTCAGTATTATATGTAGCAATTAGGAAACCACTATATATAGTTCTTTGATGTTTTTAACCTATGATTGCCACCGATTATATCTTCAAATATTTTTTTTATCAGCTAAGTGAATATATGTATATGAGATAATTGCGAATTAAAAATTTCCTGTATAATGTATTTCTGGTCTAACTATTTTAAAATCATCTCTCGTACTTCCAAAAAAAAAATACCACATTATTATTTTAATAAATCAGCCATTATAAGACTTTTTTTATTGATCTTGAAATTTACAAAAATAAATTTTCGCTTCCACAACACGGGCCACTAGCGTTATGATTATAACACTTATATATTCTAATTTTGTAGAAACAAAAAAAAATATTATTCAATTTGACACTACATAATTATTTCAACACAGTTACTCAGATGATAACTTAGTAACGTCTATTTGAGATAAACCAAAAAATTCCATAGTGTATAATGTATATTCCTAAATAAACAAAATACTTATGAATAACCTTTTGTAAATGTATAGAATCGCGTGAAATAAAATTGGTCTGATTTCGGTTRGAAAGGTATAAAATAAAATATCGAATWAAAAATAATAAAAAATATACCGTAGTWAGTATCTTCTTATATGATAAYTATATTTTTTTAGCTAYATCCATTCCCTAGTTCTCTTTGTATAATAAATGACATTCATCACATAATTAAACAGACTTTATTATGTATACGTGACCAGGTGACCACGTGAGTGTGCTGTAATATATAAGGGCCTGTATGCAGTTCGYAATGTGTTATAAAACTTAATATTTTTATTAGTTATATCCAATTATTATTCTACTTGTAAGGTATCATATTATACGATCAGTATGATCCGCACGATACCGTAAACCTATACAATACAAGCCTTAATAACAGTATGTATCAYCACAGTCTGCGATGCATCGTTTTCAGAATGTTTAATTCGTTTCAATATTAAATCATTAGTTTATCAATTTACAGCTACATAATTTTAACTGCGATTCTCACTGATAATGGCACTTTGGATTCTTGGCGATATTATATGATATTACCTACGCATAAAAAAATACGAGATATGCACAATTGTTAATCCTATACCCAATAAGACTTTAACTGCAATACTAGTTGAAATTATTGAAAAGTAGTTAAATGATTTCTACTAAAAATAACCAGAGTGGACTTTAATCAATCATGAGGGGAGAGGTAGGCTGGGCCTCTGCCTTCAAAGTTACGCATATCGCTATATATAGGTACCGATGATTTATGCTGTTTATACTTMTACTASTAATACTGATGRCTTTGTATGGATGYTGACCAGTTCCCCTCAGCCATTGTTTTGGGCAATTTAAACATATAACAGTTGGCTTCAAATATTATATACACAATTATATAATATCAACACATAAAATAGGGGAGGTAAATATGTATATAATAAATAATAGGTACGTATTAAATTTAAATAAATATAATATTTATAATGCTTTTAATTACAAGTGACATATAATATTGTAAATACCAAAAAATAGTATATAATGATACTATGATAGTATCAAATTTAAAAATGTTTAATATATTCGTATAATTGTAAATATTTAAATTGTTAACTAATTTTTGATAAATTACATTGCACGCTGCTTATTATTGTATATTATAATATTAAATGTTTTATTCTTTTATTATACGTCTTAATAAAATCAAATCTATAAGTACTTTGTAATGTAGGTTTTCTATACATAATTATGATTTCGGACACGACCAAAACCCATGAATTGTAACACTACTACGGAATCCAAATCCACAAACTATAAACATGTATAATACAAGCATAATATATTGTGTATATATATATATATATGTGTGTATAGATGTTTAAGAAATACTTAACCAATTTCGTCTATTATTAGCGTGGTATGCTTATAACGAAAAATAAAATTTCGAAGCTTCTATAATATACATATATATTATGTTTGGCAGCGTAGCGTTTCAAGATCTACGAGTATATAGTAACTTGTAAGTATATAACATTCGCGTAGTGTAAATACGTGCGTCGCAAATATTTAYACTATTTATATATATTATAATTTATATAACCTAACTGCTTGTCTGTCTAAAATCAYGTCGCAGTCAACATAAAGACTGTTCCCCGTAAATTGTATAGGGTGATTTTTATTTTATCGCGAATCAGGAAATGCCTTTTTGGTTTTTAGATTGAAGAAAAATTATACTATAGTCGCTATGTATGCAAATGAAATATTTTGTATTAAACCTATATTTCAAAAATACCATGTTTATACTAAACTTTGATTTTAAAGTAYATTTCAAGACAGGCAATTTAGAATTAGAATTTATATGTATTAAACATAATTTTTAAATCATATCATATTTTGGATTATTTTTAAGGCATGTTACCATACAAATTTGATTGAGCATTTAATTCTCAGTTATTGTTATGAAAACCCACATGATATCAACATGGAATACAATTGAATGCGATGTTTAATATATTGTACCTTCCTGTATATAATATAATTGTATACCTTTTTTAGTCGTAATGCATTGCCTCTTGCTGTCTGCCGACCAGGTGCATGAACTTATGGAATCATCGTATATTAGACCGGGAGGACACGGCATCTCATTGGCCACGCCGTCCACGCAATTGACGAACTTTTCACAGACACCCTCGTCCCAATGCCTGTAGTAGCCGTTGGCCCGGGGACATCCTTTAGAAGGTTTCGGTTCCTCTGTGTATAGGGATTAACAACGATATAATTATTATTAGTAATAATAATAATAATAATAATAATAATATTTCATATTTCATGATGTGTGACGAAATATAATGCAGAATACATTTTTAAAGCCATCATCAGAATATCGTGTTAAAGGCACATGATGACGGGTGGTGCGAGTGATAGTGATCACGTTGAAAATTGAATATATGAGTCTCCATCAGTTATGTGACGACAAAACCAAAAAACATAGTATGACCATTTACAATAAAATATTTACTAGAAAAATAACACCTGTCCCAGGACCTGACTAAGAAAATATTAATAAAATAATAAAATTCATAAAAATAACTAAATTATATAATTTTTTCTCTTTAATTTTGTATTATATTATAATAAACTAAAATTTATATCATTAAATTCCATTTTATATTATATTTAGTCTTTATTGATAAATATTCTTAAAAGTTGAGACCCTTATAAAAAAAATAATTTATATATAAACAATATTAACCTACTTAAGGGTGTTTGGTTGTGGTAGGTGTACAGATATTTAGTCAGGGAAACGTGATAAATATCTGTTTGCTTTTCTCCTCCACAACGCATGAAGGTTTTGTATGTATATAGGAGTAAAATATAGGTGTCTACTGCACTRCTAGTACTTGAAGACCCTAAGTGGCCTAAGTCATAACTCAAACAATTTACATTTTGAAGGAATGCCTTTTTAAAGTATAACAATTTCTAATAGATCAATTACTGTTTAATAAAAAAAATGTGCTTCCCATACATTCTGATAATATATTTTCATTAAAATTACATTTTTAATTTAGAATAAAATTTATTATATGGGATAAAAACCAAAATCCTAACAATACATTATACTTTTTAACAAGTATTTGATATATTTTTATTAGACTGTTTTAAAAAATTTAATATTGGAGTATTGTTTAAAAATATTATATTTCATAATAATAATATTTTTATTTATATTATTTATGTTATTTCCGGACACTCATTGCTGTGTCTAATTAGTAATTAYTATAARCTCAAATGCACTTAGTTGTTTACACTTAACAAATAAAAATATTATGTCACAGAAATTATTGTAATAAATGTTATTTTATTTTATTTAAATGCCACATTAAAATGAGGAATTTATTGAGGAGATATCAAAACAAACAATCTTAAAATGTCGAATTATAGGTATTTGTATGTTTGGTAATACCAGCACTTATTTTCACTTTAATATATTTATGAGTAGGGCAGCTCAATATAGTTTACCGCACTCACACGTTTTTACGCTCAAGTGAACTATCGATATTAAACTGAATATCATTATGTTGTTAAGCAATATCGATCGAATTGTAGTATAATCGAACCGTCGACAACGAACAAACACATGCCGAATAAAGTTAAACACGGTTATAAGTTATAATTCTCAATAATAATAATAATAATAGGATACTGTAGTATCATATATTTATAAATATGATTGTATATTATATTGTATATTAACTGCTAATACGGTAAACACTTACGCTGAACGGTCCTTTGGCCGCAGTCCACGTTTACTGACGTATCGCATTTCTCATGACTCGGGTTGCTATCATCGAACAGCAGTCCATCGGGGCAGAGTTTTTCAGTTAGTTCGCCGTCAACGGAGCAGTGGTAGTACAGATCGCATTGTATCTGGTCCGGGTAGAACCCTGGTTTCTGGGGACACTGAAATTCGCGGTTGTTCTGTTGCTGTCCAAGGGCTAGGCCTACACACACGCAAAAACACATTATATTTTATTATTGTATAGGMATGTATGATATGCAGATTGGGGGRACGGGGGGAAATAGTAGTGGTGATGAGGACAAAAACAATTTCCTTTCTGGTATGTATCGATTAAATAATCGTCAGGAATCGATTAAAAGTATATAATTAACGTCATCATCTCGGGTCAGRCGTAAATTTACGCGCAAGTTACATACATAATATCATAATAATTATATGACGTATCACTCTACATGGCGAACATTTTTTTCATGAAGACATTTACTGCTTTTATTGTGTTGTAATATTGTTGTTGTTGTTATTTTAATGAATAAATTAGTCACTGGGAAAGTAATAACAGATTTAGCAGACTAAAATTAAAGAAAAATAATAACGATATTTGTGCGATCTGATGAAGTGGATTTAAACCTTCTACTGGACATAAGGTATTAACTTGGCAACTATAGTCTATAACAATGCCTATTTATACAGGGATGTTAAATGCCGAGTACAGGAAATTAATATGAATTTACGATATCATGATAGGTAGGTGCTAAGATAATAATAAAAAAAAAACCTACACGCCTAGTGCCTATATGCAATTATATTGACGAATAATGATGTAAAACATATAAAAAAAAGATTATGATTATYGCATGTATATAATTTAATGTATAATATTATTTACTGTTTAGGTATGTGCAGTTGTGATATTATTGTTGTCATATGTGATATTATTATTAACGTAACGATGTATATAATATATATAGACGCAGATTATAGTAAGTTCACACATACACACAGGCGGTATCAGAATTTTACGTTGTTAGACTGGATCGTGTAAAACCATTCAGAATAATAATAATTATTTTTTTGTGATTTCGGTATAAACCATTAGTTTCGAAACTAGGATATAAGTATTATATTTATATTTAACCATTCAATTTTGACGATACCCCTGTGCGTACGGTATAATATTATATCCAATATATGGTATACGGTATACTACCACACCATATCCATCAGTTAGTATCTTTAAATTTTACCAGTTATAAGTCTTTATATACAACCATATAGGTACTTACCCACGAATAGAACAAGCGCAGCGGCGGTAGCGGTCGGAGCGTGCAGAACCATGGTTGGTAAAAGGCGAGCAGATTACGAATGGACCGGGTCTTCGAGCACGTATTATAGTTAGGTATAGGTATACTCGCCTCGGATGGAAGACGAAAAACTAGTCGGCGAAGCCCCCGCGTACGACTTGTCGCGACCTCTGTTGTATAGTGGTGCGGCGACAAAAGGTTTTTGAACTCCTATTCGCTACAGCATTATAATAATGATATAATGCACGATACACGCACGTGATGATTTTCAATGGGACCGTGTGAGAACGTTTTTAAACTGCACTCTGCGTGCTTTAAAATAATAATAACGATAGAATAATATATTATGGTCGCACAATAGAGGATACGTGACGAAATACGGACTCGTGTACCTCCACAACCTATAATATGTTCCAAACGATTCTTTGACGAGTGTAGTTATGCGTATAATAGTGCACCTGTTTCGTCTATATATTTATACTCGTACAGGCTTTACCCGCCTCCTGCCTATAAACTTTAACACTCGTCCGGTTGTTTGAACACTCTGTGTCTGTGGAAATCGATGATATCTATAATAATATTMTTTTTAAAATATTTACAAGAATCACATCTCCATAATAATATGATATATAGGCATAATATTATTATGTAAATTGTCGGCCATTACTGATCAGATGTTAAATAAAAAAACAGCAGTAGATGAGTGCTTGTGATGTAACAGTTGCACCCACTTGAATCTCTAATATTGCAGTACARGTGTACCTATTACACCTAATGATAACAACAATCAAAAACTATATAGGTATGTTTCACAAACGTTAATTATTAGAAGAACAAAAGATACGTTATCGACGTTATCGTCGGGAACAAACATCCTGTATAATGTACACAYTATAGTTGACCACTGTGTAAACTGGCCACTGGGTATATATTCGATTTCCTGACAAATGTGTTTTACGCCGTTTACAGGCATATAGGTAGCACGGGCGTAACCAAAAATAMCGAAAGTGACCTTTACATATTTGTATTTGCCCAGCGGCTGTATACACATAATAATAACGTAATTTAAAACTACCTGTGTTACGGCGCCCAATGATTTTTATGTCCACCTATATGGTAAAATATAATTAAACGAATTCAATTTAATAAAAACTACCGAGTAATTTATATTTATGGGTTTTCTTGAACGATAAACGACTATCGTCCAGAATTTTGATTGACGCATAAATGTCTAGTGGTTATTACGAGAATTTTAAACAAATACCTATTAACAACGTCTGACAATGTTGTTGTTGTTTAAACGCATTATTTCTGGACGTTATACATAATATGTATTTAATATATGTTCGTTTACCGGCTATATTAATGTGTAGTTATTGTTTTTGAATAGATTTACGAAAAAAATACATGTAAAGTATTTATCCCTCATTTTTTTTTTATAATAGCAATGCGCGTGTACGAGGTATGACTAATGGAAAATTGTGTAGATTAAACAAGTTTTCGCATCGTACTAAAATCAAGACACTTTTATATAGTTGCGTCATCAAACCAGTGCAACACTTGAATTTGGTGAAAGCTATATAGAAACTGGACTGGGGGCGTTTAATTTGAGTATTAGTATATAACTCTTATAATTACGTAATTTTAACCATATCAAAACAAAGGCATTAAAACAGGTCTGATACATTACTAAAATAAATTATTTTATTAGAAAAAATATGTTCAACTTATACCTACATTTAATTGGTTGACTATATTATRCTTTTATTTTATTGCGTTTGTATAAGTTGAGTCTATGAAAGATTGAAGCATGACTTTCACCTTGTTACGTTTTTAAGCACACTTTTAGTTGAATTATTATAATTTTTATATTGGTATAACATATCATTTTACAAGTAACCTACCTACGTTATTACTTATGCATTATATTAGGTATTATGTTACAAATATGTGTGTAGGTACATAAAATTGTAGTTAAAATTCTTTATTCATTTACAATACATATCAATATAAGTATAATATGTTTAAATTATAGGTATACAATTGTWTAAATACGATTAATATGTTTTATACTGGGAATTTAATTTAAAATTACTAGGTTTGTCTCATATTATATAATATATTCATACCTACTTATTTTATCATATTTTCGTAACTAAATTACTACAATATTATGTTATTATATTCCGAGATTGAAGAATAAATTAATGAATAGCTTACAATAGGCGGTAGATTTTKCATGAGATTGTTTTTTCAATAATATCTGATAAAAAAAAAAAAAAAAACAATGCAACAAAATTAATTGTAATAAAGTTAAATTTTATTTAGTATTACATCATAGTATGTATTATATATATATATATATATATAAATTCGTAACAATAATGATTTTAAATTTGACTTGATATAAAGCTATACACACACACACATACATATATATATATATAGTAACTTAAAGTATACATTTAATATGAATTATATTATGTTCAACAAAGCAATGTGAAACAACTATTGTTTTTTGTTCTTGTTCTGTTGCTGTTGTTGCACTTCTGGRTCGTCTTTGTACCAATTCTCGCTAAAATATAAAACAATACGATTTTATTACTTTGTACCTACATTCCGTTATACGTGTATATTATCATAGTAATAATAACAATAACGATACGAAAACCAAAAACCGCAACGWGCCATTGCGTCATTGTTGTGATGACACAGACATTATAGGCCGTTTCGGTTAGTTATTATTATATCATGACGTGTGATCCGCAATAAAATATAACAGAAAAAAGAGAAATAATATTATTGTTTTGTCCAAACACTCACCATCCGGGCACGTTCTCGGGTTGGTCACACTTTTGCGACTCCTCGTTGAACACTTCGCCGGTCGAACAGCCCTGTTCACGGGGGGTGATGCCGTTGAGGCACACGTAGAACTTCTGACAGTCGTCTGGGTGCGCGAACACGGGGTGCGCCACGTTTTGGCCACGGCTGTTGTGCATTTTATCTTTGGGGCACGTGAAGCCGTCTTTCAATTTCACTATAATATTATAATAGTACATGAAAATAAGAACACGAATAACAACGATTGACACGCCACCGCGTGCACCGTCATCCGGGTTAGGGTTTCGGGGGTAGGGAGGAGGGGAGGTTCAAAAAACCGCGGTCGTTGTTATAAAGTTAAAAATATGTCGTGGGTGTCTTACTGTCATCGGATTCGTTGCAACCCGTCCTGCCAGCCGTCGCGGGCCAGGCGCACGATCCCGCGTACTCRTCGAAATGCAATCCGTTGGGGCACACGATTTCCGTGCCGTCGCCCTCGATGCAGTTGTAGAATATGTTGCACACCTTTTCGTCCGGGTGCGCAAAGTAACCATTACGCCTCGGGCACAAGTAGCTGGACTGCGGATTTTCTGCAGGCACACACGTTGTATCGTTATAGTTTTTATATTTCGTGAAAATCCGAATGAACAGACACGACGATAGGTATACTCACGGAGTTCGGTTCTTTCGCCGCAGTCCACGCTGAACGGCTGGTCGCATTTGTTGATCTTCCTGTTCAGCGGGTCGAACACTAACCCGTCAGGGCACAGTTTCTCCGTGGCCACGCCGTCTTTGCACTCGTAGAACTTGTCGCATTGCACCGGGTCCTCGTACTGGCCGTTCTTCTTGGGGCATTGGAATTGTCCATCTGTTTGCGGAGATCAAACAAATGAAATCAATTATAAACATGAAATTATATTTAGAACTCTCCGGGGAGGGTATTTTACGGTTCGAATTTGTTGTATATTATTATAACACGCCGTGACACGCAGCGGTCGAACGCGGTTGCGGAAGAAGCAGTGAAAGTGAATTCCGCGCGACGACGGTTGAGCTCAGCCGGCACAGTGTGTGTTAAAATATCGTATACTTAGTAAAAATATCGTCGAAAAAATTGCAAACAACGAGAAATAATTTTATCACAGATATAGCGGTGATCTCATACCGACATTTCGGAAAATTTAAGTCGACGCTATATTTCTTAAACATAATATCCGAAAGGTATCCGCCGACAAACGAATGTCGCTTAGATTTCTGCGAGCGTTAATCTTATATTTTACAAAAACGTAGACAACCGATGTTTATTTACTATTATATACTATTTAGTTATTTAGCATTTAGTTTATAAGTTATAAGTTATAATAAATATTAATTCTTACTTGTTAAATGGGATATTCCAATAACTATCGTGCACAATACTATTGAGAGGTTCATAATTGAAAACTTAATGCGTGATGATATGTGCAAGCGACTGCGGCCTCGGCGGAAGAACAGGAAACCATTCTATAGTTTCTCCCACTTAACGATGGCTGCCTCAAGTAGTCACTTCGGCGTGGATGGGAAATCTGAGGTGAATAAAAATTGTTCGATGAATCGATTTCGTTTCGAGGTTTTTCAACCGTATATAGGTACCACAGACTCGGAGACACTGTATACGTACAATTTCTAAACAATGTGAATGTTCCGTTCAAATAATATAATATCTATAATATTATATACGTATACGAATTACGCGTATTACGATGGACGATGAATTACATAATGTATTTTAATAAATGTATTTTCCCCCATAATTTGAAGCATTACCAATGCTAATGCTAAACTATGAAGAAAAAGATTTTATTTTTATCACTTAATTCAGTAGCACATAAATATTTTCGAAATACTCTAGTGCCATCAAACTCATTTCATATTAAATGTAAATTTATAACTATAATTTACTATACTTGTTCATGTTTGATACTAAAATTATTTAGGTATATCAACAGTTCTTAGAAAATTACTGTACTTTAAAATAAGGAAGTAAAAATGTATTTAATTTTATGAGACTAAAAGGAAAAATGAAAAAAATATATATTCGAAAGGTTTTGTTTTTATGAACTCAAATCACACATTAAAAATAAAAATATCTTTTAATAAAAAAATGAAAAAAAATGAAATTTAATTATAAAAAATCATACTTTGTGCAGCTTGATTTATCAGGAATGATTATCTCTTTATTCTTTTTCAATAATGCAATAATTCAAAATCTGATTTTAACAATTTTCTGTATATTTAAAACATGTACTTTTTTTTGTAATACGTAAACAGTGTCTTGTGGTAATACAAACTTCTGTCTTTCRATTTTCAAATGAGAACCTTATTATTAAACCATAGATTATGTATTTAAATTTAAACCCATTATCCTTAGTATACAAAGTTAAATAATTCTAAAACTACTCGTTTGAATTTTTCGCTAAATAATTTGCAATCAAAAAAGGTGGTTGTCATTTGAAAAACAAACTTTTTTATTCCTTTAGGACACTCCATAAGWGAAGAAMAAAATATTTCAAG